ATTAGATAAAAGTTTAATAAGAAATAATTACAGGGAGAATTTGAGAGGGGGACCAATAGGGAGTGATATTTATAGGAAAAGATCATAAAAATTAAATTTATTTAAAAGGATTAAATATTAAAATATAAATTTAAAAATACTATATTATTCCTGTTCAAACCTTCTACATTTTCTCCTATATTTCCTCATCCATTTTATTTTTAAAAATAATTTGAATTAACAAATTTTACTAAATTACACTTGATTTCTTTACAATCTGCGTAGAAATTAATTTAAAAAATACATAAACATTGTTTATTCATGTAAAAATTAAAGTTTTATTTTTTTTTATAAAAAATTAGTTTTTTAAAACTATCACAGATTTTAATTGAAAATAAAAGTTATATAATTTTATTAAAATTTAGATTATTATATACACGATTGTAAAAATTAAAAGAAAGAAAATACGTGTAATTTATTTTTTATTTTATAATAAATTTATATCAGATATAAAAATAAAAAAATTGATGTAATGTTGAGAAATTTAAAGAATTCATATAATTTATTATAATTTTATAAGACCCCTCGTCAAAATCATTTAACAAAAGCCACCTAATTATATAATAAAAACTTCATGTAATGCTAAGAAATTTAAATAAATCATTTTCTTTTATTTTTTAAATTGTTTATATAATAAATTGTATAATAATCTAAATTTTAATAAAATTATATAACTTTTATTTTCAATTAAAGAAAATTTTAATTTTTTATAAAGAAAATAAAACTTTAACTTGTACATGACTAAACAATATAATGTTTACGTATTTTTTTTAATTGATTATTATGTAGGTTGTAAATTTTGAGAGAAACAGTGTTTAAGTTAGTGAAATTTATTAATTTATTGGTTTTAAAAATAAAATGTAATAGAAAATATAGGAGAAAATGTAGGAGGTTCAAATAGGAATAATATAGTCTTTTTAAATTTATATTTGAATATTGATCCTTTTAAATAATTTTAATTTTTATGATCCTCTCCCATAAATATCACTCCCTATTAGTCCTTTTTTCTAATTCTCCCATAATTATATGCATATATATATTATATAAGAAGGCCTCGTAGCTAGTAATAAAGCTAATTTAGAAAGTCTATGGAGTGGATACCCTGATTTCATCACCAAATTTATGTATACACATATTTACAAGGCAATGAATTTATAATAATTCTAACTTCGAAGATGATAACATCATACTGTATGGAGTTTTTAATAAAATAACTCAGCTCAAAAAAAAAAAAAATAACACCACATATATGGCTACAAATGGTTTGAAAACATACTGAAATTTTTTAGAGGATCATTTTATTTTTTTATTTTTTCAGATCTTTTTATTAGGCCCAAGACTCAATCAGCTTTCTAAAAACCTTTTCATTTTCTGCTTTAATTCCGAATTTCAAGTCAGCTCAATCAAGAAAATGGTTTTCTAGCTAGCCCAAACCGAGTCATTAGTTTGGTTAACAATTTCATTCACCAAACTGTCCAATCCCATCCGATTTTTTAATTATAATTTGTAATAGTTTTTCAGTCATGGGATTTATTTTTTTTCAATTCATTTGAGTCTATAGGAATAACTCCCACTACATTTTAGTTTCCATAAAAATGTTGAACATTAAAGTCTTCATTAAAAAAATTCCAATTAGAGCTTTATAGTATTTAAGATTAACTTAGCTCGTATAAGTATCCAATATTATTAATATTATAAATAAAAATGAAAAATCTAGCAACGCTAGTTCTCATAATGAAGTCCCACAATAATCAAGTTTATATTAGCAAGAAATATTAGACAGAGATATTAGATAGTTGTAAAAAAATTTAAAAAAAGGAAAAATTTCAGGAAAAGCTCTTGAAATATAGAAAATTTCAGATTGGGTTCTGGAATTGTGTAAATGACAGAAAGGGTCAATGACCCAATCTGTCATTCGTAAAAATCAGAAGGAATTGATAACTTTCTTTTGGCTAAGCAAAAGTGAGTAGTTGTTCTCTAAACAAATCTAGGTAACACTTATACTGTTCTAGTAATTACATAATTAGTTATGGTTAATAACAAAGTACCTGATTACAAAAAAAAAGTAGTTATTCTCTACACAATCTAAGTAACGCTTACACTATTCTAGTGATTACATGATTAATTGTAGTTAATAATAAGATAACTGACTATGAAAAAGTGAGTACGAAAAAGTGATTAGTTATTCTCTGCACGAATCTATGTAACGCTTAAACCCTTATAATGATTCCTTAAATCATTGTAGTGAATGAATACTAATTAGGACAAAGTTGTCAATTCTTCTTAATTTTACAAATGATGTTATTGACCTTTTTTGTCATTTACACAATTTCAAGTCCTAATCTGAAATTTTTTATATTCTAAGAGTTTTTTTTGTTTTGGGATTTTCCCTTAAAAAAATGGTGGGCACACGGTACAATGCAAACAAATATAGCTGTCCGTGTTTCGTTTCCCAAACAACCAACCCACAAATCTCACTCCCATATCCCCACTGTGCTCCACTCTTTCACGTTTCCTTCTCTTTTTTACCATGCCGCGGCTTCGTGAAAAATAACACAATAATTAATTTGACTTTCTGTCTTTCCTCCTTTTTTTTTTTTTTTTTACCACATAAACTTACTCATTCCAACTGCCCGGAAAGCAGCAAAACTTCTAAGATTGAATTTCTTCTCACATAGATAGATATAGCTTGAATATATATATGAATTATTTTTTAAAAAACAAATAATTGAGAAAAATAGAGATAAAGTGTAGAAAAATAATAGTTGTGTTGAACATGAGTAATGGAACTGCACAAATTTTGGAATGGACTTGATTTCTTTTTGGTTAAGATGTTTTTTCTCTAAAAGTATTCATTAAGAAGTTACAGGTAGAAGATTTATTTTTATTCATTTTACTCAATGTTTAGAAATATTTAAAAAAACAGTGTTACTTTTTTCATTAAAAATTAATGTTTATAATAGAAGGGTGAAATTACTCATTTTTTTAACCTATTAACTCAAAAAGTGGTTTTAAGTACTTCGTGGATATTTTTAAGATGAAAATTAACTTAATCCAGCCTGTCTAGTACAAAGGTAATGAAAGGGAGAGAAAGAGAGAAATTTTTTTAATAAATTTAATTCTGAAAAAATTGATGAAGTGAGTCAAAAGTTTTTAATTAATTTTTTCTTGTTTTTTTATCTTGCATATTTTCTCATACATAATATATGTGGGAAATTCAATAAAAAACAAAGAAGACACGAAGTTTTTTCTTGTTGCGTAATAAGTGAGTAGGACGAAAGAGGACAAAACACGTGGCCGACATGCATACAAGAGTTGGTCCCACAAATGGGGCAATAGAAGAAGAATATCCCAAGATTTAGTGGGGGGAAGCATGATGGCGGATGCACACCAGATCTTTCCCCTATGCTCCCCGTGGGGCTCACCGTCATCCCTACCCCAGCTTCGCCTCCCCCTCGCCCTCTCTATTGCGTTGCATGCTTTTTCTCGTGCAATCATTCTCTACCATTTCTCAAGTTACCCGAATTCTCCATCATCGCATTAAATAATTTATTTTCCAAAAAAAAAAACCAATGGGTAGGGATTGTGATTGTTTGGTTTTCTATTTCCAAAACTATTTTCTTAAAATAAAAAAATATATTTGCAAATGTATTTTTAGTAATGTGTTCTAGAAAAAGGTAAAACAAAAATAAAATTTATTCTGAAAAATTAAAAAAATCAGGATCTTTTTTTTTTTGATGGTATGATAATTTTTGTCCTCAAAAATTAGAGAAGAGGGAGAAAATATAATATTTTCATTAATAATAATCATATTAGTAAAACAAGCTATTTTTTCATCTTTTACTTCACTAGTTTAAATAAGGTTTTTGAAATAACGATTTGAGCAGATTTTTAATTTTTTTACAAATTTTTTTTTTGAAAAATTACTCTATAAAACTATCTTAAGAGCATAAAAATAGATAATAAAACCAAGTAAACCCTTATTTTATACTTTTTCTATTCCTATTTTCCTGTTCCATTTTCGTTTTGTTCCCTAAACATGTCTTGTTCCATATTTAAAGATATAATTATTGCTTATTTCTGGTAATAATTTTGGTACATGGAGAACATTAAATGGGGGTAGTTCATATTTAAAATTGTATGGCATGAAAAGTAAAACTGAAAAGGATGAAAAGTAAAACTGAAAAGGAATAATACGTGGATTTTCCTTTCGTATTGCCATGACCTATTTTCTTTACCAAGACAAGTAAATTTAGAACTTGTAAAAATTAATGAAATTGGGTGATTTTTATGTAAGTACCAAATGAAATGTCTATTTTTTAAATTTTTTTTTATATAACTCAGAGTATTCTCAAAGTCATTTTGAACTTAAAATTAAAATATATATTGGCCTCTCAATAAATTCACTTTTCATGATCTTATATTTTCTACCTTACAGAATGAAACTACTTACCATATCAACTAACAATTTATTAATAATAAAATGTTTATTTAACTGTGAAGAGTTGGAATATGTTTTGATTGTCTTTTGTTAAATTTATCCATTATTAAATTATATTGAAAATGTGGAACAATTAAACTGAAGGTTTATATTTAAGCCAAATTTCAAATTTGTTATACTATATTCGTTTTTAGCTCACAAAAATCAACAAAACCATGCTTTGTGTTTTGATTCTATAAGGTGAAACGCCGACTTAATTGCAAATGGATGGTTGACATGAATTGTTTAGTTATTTTTGATAAATTCAAATCCAATGGTAATAAAATGTGATTTCAATATATAATTTCCAACCGCGAAGGAACACGACTAATTTGGATCCATTAATCACACAACTTCTTAATGCGTGACCCTTTCTTTCTCTGTCATATTTGAATACATCAAGGTGCGAAGAAAGAGGTTTTCGTTTACTTGTTAATTTTTGAATGGCTTCCTCTTCTTTACCTTTCCCCTTTTCCTTTTCTTCATTCTTTCTTTTATTTCTCTTCTGTTCTGTTCCGTTTCCCTTTCAAGCTGCTTACCAATTATCATCCATCATCATGCCTTGCTTTTGATGCATTACTATGTTGACTAATCCCAACGAACCACTCTCTCTCCCTTTCTCTCACCTTTGCTTTCCTGCTCCCCAAACACTCTCGCTTGGTCTCTCTTTGGCTGGTTCCAAACGAAACAAATTAACCCATTATTCGTCTTTCTCAAGATTACATGAATGAAACTAATAAAGCACTCATTCTTACTCATCTTCTCTGCTTCTTTTACGTAGAGATTTATATGCTTGGTTCTGAAGTTTGGCCTCCGTATCCACAGCTCGGTGCTTCTCCTTCTTCATCTTCTTCCTTCAATTTGAACAGTTTGCGAAATGATGCAGCGTTTTGCGCTCTGAACGTTTCATCCGAGTAAGATTCAATTCAGCCATCTTGAGTTTCATGTCTTGGGCATGTTCTCTGTTCTTGTATCTGTGTTTTCTCTTGTTAGTTTTTCCAATTCTTTAAACAATTTTTTTCTGCTTTCAATTAGTTTCTTAGATGTCTGATGCAATGCCTGATTCTGTGATGAGTAATTTGATTGAAGCATTCTCATTGACTTGTTGAACAATTAAAAGCATAAGATAGCTTTTTTACCGGATGTACCCCCCCCCCAAAAAAAAAAAAAGAAAACAAGAAAAAACGTGTGGAAAATAACTCAGTGTAGGTTTTACTTTGAAAAATCCAAAAGGATAGGGACAAAAAGGAAATGATAAATCCTCCTTGTGGGATGAGCAGAAGTTGACCTGTAGTGAATAACTTTATCAGTTTCAGAAGACGATGGCCACGGCCACATAGGCCAAATTCCTTGCTGGATGCCAATTAGTAATCAGGAGATGGATGCCAATGATACTGTGTAGAGAAAAGATACTCTGACAGTAGTCATAATCATTTTCTGCAGTTGATGATGTTCATGGAATTGGAGTCTGTTGGGACTAATTCTAAGAAATAGAATGCTTGTGAGGATTTTTGTTCCAAGAAGCATTAGTTCTTCAAAAAAAGAGTCCTGTTATATTTAGCACTTATATGAAGCAAAGCACTTCAATTTGTACTAAGATATTTTATTCTGTTAGATTCTTTTGTGTTGTGTCATTGTATTTATGTCATATGATGTCTCCTTCAGTGTTATTATCGGTGCTTCTTAGATTCTGATACAACTTATTTAGATAAATAATTATGAATGGATTTCTTCTGTCTGATTGAAAGCAATGGGCCGTGCCATTTATTATATATCACCTCATTTCTAAACAGGAGTCAAATTAGCACCAAAACCATGCCTAGCGGCCTTATTTCCTGGCACAAATGCTGAAATTTTTAGTTTATAATATGCTAAATGAAGGTGAACCATGAGAACTACATATTTGCATTCAGTAAAAAGCAGTGAGAATGACTTTGCAATCAGGTCTCAAACTTAATTATGAATCGTTTTCGCATTCAGTTAAGAAGCTTATGGTAACACATTCTTGTTATTTGTTCATGATGAATCATTTTCATATTCAGTCAAGACTTGTTTGGTAACACATCTTTCTTATTTGCTAATGATGAGTCATTTTCGCATTCACCTAATAGTTGTTTGGTAACACATCTTTGTTATTGTTTTTGCTTGGTGCATAATATGGAATCCAAGGCATTTTGTTAACAATTGCATTCTGTATGCTGACATATCTGCTTTGGATTTATGCACCCTTTTGGTTTTACTTTTCTCACATTTTATGGTTTCCAACTTTCAGGAATATTATGAAATGATTTTGCACTTTTCGCATAGCTGAAAATGCAGGGCCTTACAAATAAGTTTAATTAGTGATTGCCAAAAATCAAAGTAATTGATAATTTCTAAAGACTAATGAGCTTATCTCATAGGTACAAAATAATAGCTTGAGTTGAGTTAGCTAAGAAATCATCAAATTCTGAAATTCTTCAGTTACTGCCAGGAACTGGAGCAAGAGGCAGAATGCTCTGAAGTCTGATGCAGGACAATAAGAGCATTCTGCATCCACTTAGCTCAGTCAACTTCACTATTCAGCTTTCAGGTTTTATTCAAGTAACTTCAAAAACATAGCAACAGACATTTGCGTTACATCTTTCCAAGGTGTTAAGCAGTTGCTATTCTATAGACTATTTCATCATCCTCTTTCTCAGTGCATGATAGAATATACTGGTTTAGTTTATTATAGTTTTTCATTGATCTGTAGGTGAGGTCACTTTCGTCTACATGCTGAAGAACCCTCAAGAGTTCTATACACCGAAATGAGAATGACAAAGGCTTTATTGAATGAAACTTGAGGTAAGGCTCTCATGCAGACTGTTCTTTCACCATTATTCTTTATATTTAGTGAGCTTTCCTTATACGCAATTTAGGATGATGAAGACAAAATCCTTCTCTCATCTTTCCTCCCTCTTTTTTATTTTTTGATTCTCTTTCTTTGTTATTGTTTTCTTTTCTTTTCTTTTTCCTTTCCTTGTTTTTTTGTAGACTTATGTTATCTAAATTTTTAGTAGAATTGGCAGCTGGCACATGTTAATCTGTCTTCTGCTGCTAATCAGATGATCCTTGTTCCAGTTTTCTTCATGTTACGTGTATTAACTAGTTAGTCATTGCTGACAAGGCATGAGCTGATTAGGTCCTATATTTAGACCCTAGTGTGTTTTGATTGGCTCGGTTGCAAAAGTTAGCTTTTATGCATAACACTTCACCTGCTGAAATGTTCTGTAAACACACTCTCTCTTCCCAAGCTCTTCCCAAAAATAATGGTTTTCCATTTAAGTTTCATTATTTCCTTGCAAAAGTTTTTTCCGCCTTTATACTTTAGATATTTCATACTGATGCATTGCAGTTTTCTCCCATAGCAGTACTCAATCAACTGATCAAGGTATCAGATACTTATTTCATGAAATATGTTGTCACTTGCAAGGTACAAGCCATCCTTTTTCAATCGGGCTTTTGAAGTAGGGACTTTTACTGACTATTGGGTATAGACCAAAACAATCAACAATGAAGTTTATGAAACTTGGAACAAGGCCCGATACCTTCTACTCAGAACAAGCCACTAGGTACTGACAGTAATCCTTTTCTAAGATGCTTCACACAGTCTTTTTCTTCCTTGATATGAAAAATAAACACGAATTCTGATTATGCAGGACTCTGGTTTCAGATATACCTTCAGACCTTGTGATTCAAGTCAATAATATCACTTTTCTACTGCACAAGGTACACATGAAAGGGAGTCACGGTTATATTGGTCAGAACTACTCTTTTTATTGGAGAAAAAATATAATTATGATGGGGGGGGGGGGGGGGATAGAGAGAGACCAAAATTAAGTCTTTGTTCATGTTCACTTCTACTTTTGTTTGCTGCAGTTTCCACTTCTTCCAAAATGTGGCCTCCTGCAGAGGCTTTGCTCTGATTCTAGTGATTCTGAGTCTATCTCTATAGAGCTTCACGATATTCCTGGAGGGGAAGAAGCTTTTGAACTCTGTGCTAAGTTTTGCTATGGAATTTCAATAAATATAAGTGCTCACAACATCGTACCTGCACTCTGTGCCGCCAAGTTCCTCCGGATGACTGACTCCATTGAGAAGGGAAACTTTGTTGGTAAACTTGAGGCTTTCCTGAATTCCTGCGTACTTGAAGGTTGGAAGGACTCCATTGTGACTTTGCAGACCACAGCTAAGTTACAAGATTGGTCTGAGAATGTTGGTATAGTCAGAAAGTGCATTGATTCAATTATTGAGAAAGTTCTCACGCCCCCACAACAGGTCTAAGGATTTGGCCCTTTCTACTTCGTCAAATTTCTAAAATTTCCGTAAATATGTTTAAATAGATACTTTCTATAAAAGATAGATAAACCAAACAAATCATAAATATACAATTATGTCATATGTGAGTCATACTAAATGCTGCACATAAGATACTTGTATGACTTTTCACGAGTGACTAGATCTATTGAACGTTGGGCAAGTTTTCTCAAAATACTAGAGCGGGCCTTGGACATGCGTGGATTTTGAGATGAATCACATTATTCATGGCGTGTGATTAGTGCATTTTCTTACAACTTTTATAGATATTAATTTTTAATTGTTATGCCTGTGGACATTTGCTGAATAAATGAAGATCCTCATGTACAGGTCAAATGGTCCTACACTTACACCAGGCCCGGGTACAAGAAAAAACAGAACCCCGGTGTCCCAAAGGATTGGTGGACGGAGGATGTTTCTGATCTTGAGATAGACCTTTTCCGATGTATAATCATGGCTATCAGATCGGCATATGTGCTACCACCACCACTTATAGGTGAAGCCTTGCATGTCTATGCCTGTAGGTGGCTCCCAGGGATCACAAAGCTTAGGAGTTCAACAAGTTCAGCTTCTCAGACAGAAGAATCCAAGGAAAGAAATGGAAGGATTCTTGAAACAATTGTAGGCATGATTCCGGCAGATAGAGGGTCAGTTTCAGTTGGCTTCTTGTTAAGACTTCTCAGAGTTGCAAATTTTCTTGGGGTCTCCCCAATGACGAAGACTGAACTAATAAAGAGAGCCAGCCTACAATTTGAGGAGGCAACAGTGAGTGATCTGCTTTACCCTTCAACATCACTTTCTGACCATCACTTTTATGATATAGACATAGTTCTAGCAGTGCTGGAAAGTTACTTGAAGCTTTGGAAAAGAATGGCTCCTGGTGCAGTAGAGAGCAGCAACTTTTTAAGGTCAATTAGAAGTGTCAGCAAGCTCATTGATTCATATCTTCAAGTGATTGCAAGGGATCATAATATGACGGTGTCAAAATTTGTTTCTCTTGCTGAAACTGTACCCGATGTTGCCCGAGCGGAACATGATGATCTGTACAAGGCCATTAACATCTATCTCAAGGTGAAGTATTTATATTACACCTGCATTGACATAAAATTTTGGAACCTTCTACGTCTAATTCTTATCTTCTAGAAAAATACCTAAGAAACACTGCCTTTTTTGCATTTTTTCAATCCCTCTCTTTAAAATCACTATTTTCAAAATTTCTATAACAAAGGAATAGATTAGCAGCATATAGTTAAATCCTTCAACAATTGCTTTTAGCAAATATTTGATATATTATTTGTATTTTTGTCATTTGATAGAGGTTATTACTGTCTGAAAAATTTTCTTCTCTGTTGCTTCCCAGAAACCAGAAGGCAGCGAGAGAGAGAGAGAGAGAGAGAGAGAGAGAGAGAGTCCTGCCATCATTTGTTTTGGTCAAGAGTAGAAGCTATTCTTTTCTTTCAAAACGATCTTTTCCTCTTCCCCAGCCCCTTCAAACACACACCAAAATAATTCTTATCCATTAATATAACTTTTTCATTGTACTTAATAACTGTATATAATCAGTTTCATATTGAGTTTAGCAAGACAATATGGTACATTTGTAGTAGAAGTTTCATCGCCTTACACTATTTTAATGACATTATTAACAGGAGCATCCTGACCTGAGCAAGGCCGACAAGAAGCGCCTGTGTCGTATTCTAGACTGCCAGAAACTGTCCCCGGAAGTCCGAGCTCATGCTGTGAAAAACGAGCTTCTTCCTTTGAGAACGGTTGTGCAGCTGCTCTACTTTGAACAAGAAAAAGACTCCTCCATGTCTACCACTAGCCACCATAAAATGCCAAAACCTCACGAGCTTCTTCTTGGAGCCAAAAAGAGGCCACAAGTCAGAGACAGCAACGGGAAGCAATATTCTATAGGCCCAGATAAAGAACTCAAGAGAGAAGAAGACACAAGAAGCGTATCTCTTCCTGTAACCAGAGAAAAAGATCGACCCAAAATTAAAAGATCAGGCAGTAAGTTGCCAGAGGAACTAGAAAGGAAGATGGTTATAAAAGAGGTTGAAGAAACGGGATCAGAGAGGGGAATGGAAGTGAAAGAAGAAAGTATACCAGGTGGTAGCAGGTTGAACTTGGATCCTAAGAAAAGCATGAGAAGGGCACGAAGTAAGTCAGAGTATGGCCGTGAAAAAGGAAGATAGAGAGAAATATATATCTTAGACACAACATCTGTTTAATTACTTTTATATGTGAACTTGGTAATTTCAATTCTTATTATTTTCTTTTTCCAGTGACATAAATGTTGTACGACAAGTACAAGCAGATAAATATTTGCACTCTTCTGTTTCACGGTAAAGAGTTGCGATTATTAGGAAATATTTGAGAAATTTCTGTTGTATTTTATCTATTGAAGAGGTCGATACTGCATTTGGAATTGGAATATTCTGAGAGTCACATTTTCCATGACATTGCAATTGTAATATACAACCTTCTGTCTTCGGTCTTAATATAAGAGTTAGTTAGGGATTTGATTTAGTCTTAAATATAAAAATTCAATCTATTTTGCCTTTCCAAATTTGTAATTTACTGTTCCTATTGATTATTCATGTCAAGGGTTTCTGTCCAAAAAAGGCATTTTACAAAAAGCAACTCATATCTGTGGCAAATAATTAACTTACTGATTTTCTTTATCTACTCAAATTAGTTAGGTAATTCTTATATTAAGGATCGGAGATAGTATCATGATATCCCCACTGCTAAATTGGGAGAGAAGAGATTTTTTTTTCTTTCTTTTTTTTTAGATCATCATGTAGTGTCTGTTACTTTCTCAATAGTCACTGATTGTCATATAACTCCTTTTTCGGAAAGCTCTTTGAAGTAATCTAGCATTGATCTGAACCTTCGGAATTGACTCAGTTTAATAGTGTCCATTTAATTTTTATACTCCTCTGGTCCTTAATATAAAACCTATTTAACTAATTTGATTAAATTAAGGAAGTTAGGTAAGTTAGTTAATTATGAGAAATGTGATGTGTTTTTCCTAAAACACCATAATCATCTTTCTTAATACCCCATCTCCCTCTTCTACTTAATTATAATTGAGGGAGTATCCATAGGGGTAATTTAGAAAAAATTGATAAATATGAGAAATGGGTCTTATATTTAAGACCAAAATCAACTCAATAATTGGGTCCTATATTAATGACCGGAGGAGTATATGTTTATAATTTCATATAACATTTAAAATATCGCTTGTCCGGGTGGTAACATCTCAGGAAACTGAATTTTCAAGTGCTTCAAAATTTTTGCGGTCATATGAAAACACTGAACAATCTGAAAGAATCATATTCCCATTTGTGTTCCTTGCATATTCCTCAATGGGGTATTCAATGGATGCATATACATTTAATCAGTAAATGAGCCCTCTTTTTCTTTTCTTTTTTTCCCTCTTTTTTTTTTGACACACCAGAATTGGATTTCATGAGCAGGTTTGAATAGTTGCACTAGAAATAGGAACTAGCCATATGTCCAATCCAGAGCATCCTCAGAACTGGTAAAAAAGTGAACAGGCAGGAAACTAGCCTAAAACCGGTCTTGAACCGATCTATGATGAACAATAAATATTTTTATTGTACCACTTTGGTCATAAATATAAGTCATTTATAGGAAAAAATTTTGGTCCAACATTTAAGTTACTTATAATATACTTAATGTTTGTTTTCCAATTTTACTCTTATTTAATCATCATTGGAAAGAGAAAAAAAAAGGAAGAGATATAAGAATGACTTGTCAATTTGTTAATGTAAAGAGAGGAAATTTTAATAAGGGTAAAATTAAAAATTTATTAATTTAAATATTTCTTGGTATGTAAAAATATGTGATGGGCAACTTATATTAAGAACCAGAGTGATAATGATGTGATCTACTGTAAACTTAGTATGTATGACAAGAATCTGGATAAAAATTATCTAATGTTCTTATTTTTCATACGTATTTTTTAAAATTATATCATAGTTCAATAGTCCAACTGATGAACCTTGAACCAATGGCTTGGTTAGCTCAATGCTATGTTTAATTATGAAACCATCGTTTTTAACCGCTGCTCATAGAATATTAATGTAAAAAATTTTCAGCGTCTAAAATTTCTTGTTCATCCTTCCCCTTTTGAACTTCTATAATTTATTGTGTCTGAATTATTTAGTTTATTATGCTAGAAAGGCTGGTCACCAAAAAGGAGGCGAATAGAGCGATGCAAAATTTTTACAATTTAAATGTAAACACAGAGTGAGTTGAGAAACATGTCCATGACAACGAAAAAAATCAGAAGCTAGAGGTGAAGTTTAAGGTTGTGTTCGGGATCACGCTGATGAGCCTCAACAAGCTGTAAAAAGTAGCTACAAACCTAAAATACATGTTTAGATGGGTGCTAACAGTAAATGGCTTATGCTTTCTGGTAAAAAAAAAAAAAGGCTTATGCTTTGAAGTGATTTTTTTCCCAACAATGCCTTTTGTTGCTTTTGTCTTTTGCATTTCACGTTAGACAAAAAAGTAGGGTCCAGATGGGTGAGTGAAAGGCTGCTTTTACTCATCTCCTAGAGTTCATTTCAAGATTAATAAAATCTTTTTTAAAAATTTAATTGGTGAGAAGTAACTTATAAATTTTTACACATATTGAGTGCGAATTTTATACACAAAGTACTTATATTCTGATTTAGATAATTCTCACTAATTATATTTTCAATAGGGGGATTTTTTTCCCGATTTTTTCCTAAATTTAAATATTTTAGTATTTTTAAATTTTTTTGAATAATAACTATGTAAACAGAGTAAAATTAAAGTATTTAATTAAGAGAAACACATAGGCACCAAATTAAAAATTGAGCAAAAATACAAGCATCTGCAAAATGGTTTTCTCTTCATTTTTATAATTTTTAATTTTAATATTCCTCTTAAAATTAATACATAATGTGCATATACTATATATACATTATTTAATAAAACTATTTCCTTTTAAATCATTTTATATTCAAACTTACTTTTATATTAATAATCTAAATAAGTTTTCGCTTGTCAAATTGATTTTTTTTAACAAAAGTCAATCCAAACATGAATTAAATTACACTAATTGACTTTTCTTTTTGTATAATTCAAAGTATGCTCAAGTCACTTTTAACTTGAAATTAATTTTTGTCAAGTCGGGAGTACCACATCTCACATTTTTGGCTACTAAGAGAGAAATTTAAAACTGACTAAAGGCTAGATAGGATAATAGAGACATAGATGAGACATCTTTTGAGATAAAATTCTAGTAGGAACTAAATTGTAAATTTGAAAAACTTCGTTCTAAAAAATGCATTTTTGGAAGGTGTGCTCGAAATTAACAGAAAATAAGAAAAAAATTGTATAAACTAGAATTTGAGGCCTAAAAGGTGAAAATTTGATAAAAATAATTTGTGATACGAAAAATGTAATACCTTAACTTTAGACCATGCATGCGGCCAAAACATGATAATTGGAATAACTTCGCATAATCACATCTCATTAAACTAGGAAAAACAGATTTTGAAAAATTACTTAGGTTACTATTCATTTTATAACTCTAAAAATATTGTCAACTTTGAAAATTCATAATTAATTCTAAAAAAATTGAAATGAGGTGGTTCTAAGTTTTATTTGAAGCTCATTCAATTCCTTATGGAGGAAAAATAATCATCGGTCAATTACTAAATCGTATGAGGCTTCATTTTCTTCCAAAAAATCACTATTCATTTGGTCTATTTTTATTTTTCAACATTTTACCTTAACTTCAAAAGTTCATATCTTTTCATACAAAACTCCAATTTTGGCAATCTACTACTTCATTTGAAGCTTAAAATATGATCCATAAGGCCACCAAATTTCATATCCAGATTCTATCATTTGCTCATAAAAGTTGCAGTCCCAAAATTAGGGTTTTACAAGCTATTTTATCTCATTTTATTTCCCTAACATGTGAAATTTGATTTCTAGCTTTCATTCTTACTAAAATCCATTCATACAATCATGGATACTATATCATAATACCTCCCAAGGAGTGGGAGCAACCATCCATACAAGCATTGATCAATACACAAACATTACATAATCCATATAATTCATTATACAAAACATATAAAACTTCATAATATTGCATGCAAGATTCCTTATCAAGCTTCCAAACTCTTTCTTTTGTCCCTTTATGAGCCATCTCTTGGGAGGATCAATTGTATATAAAAAAAGTGAGATTTGAAAGAAATCTCAATGGCATAAAACAACAATTATAGTACTAAAAATGTCAAATTATTCATCCTGTACATAATCAAATCTTTTCACATATTTGTTCACATTTTCATGCAATGGAAAGGGAACATAACATCATCTCATTAATATCTTAACTACACACATTGCCAAGGCATAAATGCAAGGACTTAAATACATTTCATCACACATAACCACATCTGGCATAATATACATAGCAAAACAACCAATATAAATCAATACTAAAATTATAAGTTCATGCTACCCCTTATCAAGATTAACTCCTTGATCCTCTTAGCTTGCTCTTGAGCCTCCTCTTGCTCAATTCCAATGTCTATTAATCACATAACAATGGCATTCCACATTACTAAAACAATTTATCAAATACCTAACTTAAAACCCTAACTAATAATCCTTAAATTTTGGGCTTTTGCATTATCTTTTCTGACATAATTCTCTTAGTAGCCAGATGGTGGGAAGAAATTGGATTTTTATAAAACTAAGCTTAAGTTTTAACAAGAATCAAACTCTAACCCTATAATCTTAGCTCGGCTGAATGGTATACCAAATTGTCACAAATTATGGTTCTTCTAAAAACCAAGTTAAAACATAAATTTCGAACCATTCTCTACCCTTTAATTTGTATACCATAAATAATTCATTTCTCAGTGTATGAAAACTTGGATAGCAACTAGACTTAGGGTTTCAAGCTTTCAACTTCCAACAAAACCCTATATAGAACCAACAATTCATATGGCATCATAAGTTGGATAAGATTGATGATCTTACCTTGATTAAGTGCTTAATTTCACCTAGATTTTCCCTTATTCTTCTCTTCTTCCTTCTTCCTCCTTGCTTGGCCGAAACTTTCCTTTCTTTTTGCTCTTGAGTTGACTAAAAATTTTAGCCTAAAGTGAAACATTCTTCCTTAAACCCTCTTTAGTACATGTTTGGAAGTGTTACAGTTCAAGCTAT